TGTCTGTCTGTCTGTCTGTCTGTCTGTCTGTCTCTCTCTCTCTCTCTCTCTCTCTCTCTCTCTCTCTCTGTTTGTGTGTCCTGTCTTCCTCTCTATAAAATTTCGGTGCCAAGTGTGCGTGCGTACCATGAGTGCCCAAAAGAAGAGAAAAACACCAGTCTCGCTACAATCGTGTGTGTGTGGCACCCAAAGACCTGTGTATATAATGTCCTTCACTTAGTACACTGACGTTATTCTGGCTCACTATGAGCGTACCCCCCCCCCCCCCCTTTAGAATTACAAAGGTCTATCTGACATTTTTGCCCGTTTTCAGTTAAAGGTACTAAGATCGTGAGGTCAGAAACCCAAATATTCTATCTGCTCTATCAAAATCGTAAGAATATTCGGAGTCGTTATCAATCAAGATATTCCAAGAATTGCATTTTTAAAAAGCTTGACATGTGAAACGCAACATTTTTTTAAAGTCAAATTTCTAAAAACTAGACTTGATAATGAGCAGATAGAACTGTGTAATTCTAAGGTACCAGTGGCGATTAGACTCTATTTGCATTCAACTCTCTAAGGACATAGGGGACGCATATGTCTGACGGTCTGACGCTCAGCTGGCCAACGGCAATGTGTTGCTGCACACTTCGAATAGTCATACACTCGAATGTGTATGCTCTTCGGTTTGCGTATTGTTGCAAGGCTTTATATTATTATTATTATGTTTCAAACAAAGAAAACACAACTGACAGTCTTTACAAATAAGGATGCATATCCATTTCATTTTTTTTATATTCATACTTCTTTTTTTTTTAAAGTGCTCCAAAGAAACGAGTGTTAAGTGATTTAAAATGAAGGGCACGGAGGGAAAGGGGAGCGCACTCGACAATAGTGAGACTGTACTTTTGCCCTTCATTTGAACACCCACTGTACACAGCAGCGCAGTTTTTTTTAGAGCAATGATTACGGCGGCCACGACAGTACCGTATACCCAACCCAGGATCCTAATTCAGGTCTATGGCGGCTCCTTTCCCCCGTTGTCATTTTTCTGGTTCCAATTAAGGAGTCAAATGGAGCGCTTCAGCGTGGACCGGAACTATGTCAGAGTGCACAGACAAGGATGTTAAAGTACAGCACAAGTCAATATAATAGAAACTCTCTTTGGTATAAGTCTATGTCCCCCTTCAAACAATTCCACGTGTGGACTACTGAAAATTGTAGCAACAAATCGTTGCCTCAGAATTAAAAAGTTCTATCTGACATTTTTGGCCGTTTTGAGTTACTAAGACCATGAGATCAGAAATCAAACGCTCTATGCTATATCAAAACCATACGATTATTTCGAGTCGTTATCAAGGTAATATTGAAAGAATTGCAATTAAAAAAAAAAAAAGCTTGACTTGATGTGAAACTCAAAATCTTTGGGGTCAAATTTCTCAAAAGTTTAAATTGAGCAGATAGAACTTTGTACTTCTGAGCTAGCGAAATGTAAACAAAAATGTAGGCCAAACACAATGTGTTTTTTTTCCTAAAAAAAAGAATAAATAAAAAGGTCCCCGCCCTCATTTCAACACTACGAGAATTTATTTTTAAGAGGCGTGCCCTCCAAAAATAACAGCCGCCCCCAATCGATAGGATCGAGCCAATTTGGTGGGGAGCCAATTAAAAAAAAACCTCTCACCAAAACAACCCAAGTTAAGAATGCCCCAGTGGGCATTCGAAGCAATGCAACCCACTCCGCAGTCAGTATGATACCAGCTGAGCTGACGGTGCACCATTTTATTTAGGCCCTAAAAAAAAAGAAGAAAAAAAAAAGGTGAAATGTTTATATTATAGTCACCTACATTTCAGTATATCTAATCATCAAAGGTTTGGGTGCAGGCCTGTTGTTTTCTTTGTAGACTCTTTCATTTGATTTGTTTTGTTTTTTTAGTCTTAGTAGTCTTATTAGAGGTTTTACGGCGCTCGCAACTGCATAAGGTCATATGAGCGCCAAGGGGTGGATGTCAACCGAGAAGTCCTTGCAGGGAATTAGGCTTACTCTGCTCACTCCTCTAGCCAGGCTTACTCTGCTCACTCCTCTAGCTTCAACAGCACAAAGTCTGCTTCGACTATCAAGGCCGAAAATAACGGGTCACGAGAGTGTGACAAATATACAAAAGAAGTAGAAGAAAATGACAATAGTAAGAATTAGGAAAGAAAAAGCAGCAGTTCCCTGTTGTAGTTCAGGCATGACATTGTTGGATCAGCCCATTTACAATTCTACTGTGCATTAGGACGAGAAATGTCCCCCCATTTGGGGAATGGCAGGAATGGCCAAAAGACACTTCTGTCAGTGGCACCGCCCCGAGGGGTGTTTTGTTTTCAATTAGTCGAGTTTTCATGGCAGGCCCTTTATAACAACAATAACACTGAGAACAACAACAACAACAACAACAACAACAACAACATCAACAACAACAACAACAACAACAACAACATTAATAATAACAATGATAGATCTAGTAATAATGTATTCGACAGCCATACACAATATTGAGTACACCCATAAGCTACAAAGGGATGCAACACAGAAAATATTATTCACTTATAACTCTTTTAGAGTGAATGTTCCTATCTTGAGTCAGTAAACCGGAAGTGGAGAACATGGCGACATGTAAACAATGTTCGCATCAGCTTACTATGCCAAACCAATGAACGTTTTATCTGTTATTTGAGTTTCTTTCAGAAGTGTGATTTCAACCATCTTTTTCAGGAAGCACTATGGGATCTTGTGCGTCTAATAATTCAAAAGGTAAATGATGATTGGCAACACGAAGGAAATGACATTGTTTTAGACTGCGTTGGTCCGTTCTCTGCTGAATCTCTTCTTTCAATCTTTGGCTGGTAGATTCATATCTTTTTGAGTTTTATTTTCTATTCTCCTCTTGATAGATCTTGTAACATGTATTGCTATTAGATTCTTCTTTTCCTTCTTCTATTTCTCTCCTCCTCCTCCT